ACTCCTTTGAGCAGTGACCATGATAGTATTTGTAGAAAAGAGAAAGAGATGCAACTTTATGACAATGGGAAAGAGGTTCAAGCTTAGCAGATAGTCCAGGTCCAACAACATTTACAATGCGATTTTGGACTATGTCAAGAAGAGAAAGTGAATCGTTAGAAGAACCAGCCCAAATATGACAACAGTATTCCATACAGGGACGAATAAGAGATTTGTAGAGGTAGAGAATGGAATCAGAAGTAAGGAAATGGCGAGCACAATAAAGAGAAGCAACCTTAGCAGAAGCTAATTTAGCAATCGACTGTATATATGATTTCCATGAAAGGTCAGTAGTAAGCGATAATCCAAGAATACGTAAAAAGGAGGACTCAGTAAGAGGATTGCCATTCATTAATATAGGAATGTTGACCATATTACGGTAGTTGTTTGCAGTAAGCAACTAGGTTTTTTGTTGTTTGCAGTAAGCAACTGGGTTCAGTTGTTTGCAGTAAGCAACTGGGTTGCTTAAATCAAGCTGAGCATTTTCTTAAGAAGTTTTGTGTATGCCATAATTTGAGAGTTGGACTTACGCAAGATAAATCGCAAGTTTTTTACGCAAGTTTTGTGAATACGAAATAAGTAAATTTGTCACAAGTTCCAAACTTACGCCAAACTTACGCCAAACTTACGCTTAAAAAAGTTTTGTGAGTCTGCTCCCAGACTTGCAACGGAGAGCTGCTACATCAACTTTTAATTTGGTTTGTGCAGGCAGTCGATCATATAATTAAAAAAAAAAATTATTATGTTTAAATAATGCATTATAATAATTTTTTTTTGGCGGATGTAGTTACATCCAAAAAAAATCAGATTGTTAAATCAGATAGTTGCATGGATTTTATTATACATTGATGAAATTTCGGATGTTTTTGGACAGATGTTATTAAACACAGCAAATGCGGATGTTGTTACCCTGACCCATAAAAAATAACAAAGTTTTAAACAGGAGTTTTGGGAAAAAAACAACATAGTTTATAAAGTATAAATTACTATGCTAAGCTCCCGCTCTTATAAGAGATTGTCCACAAATTAGTTCATGCAATTTTTAACCACACACACACATACCCCTCGTCACAACATTGTAACTCTTTAGTAACAAGTTCGGTACCATGATATAAAGATATTACTAAACATCCGACTTCGCCGTTTTTAGTGAAGCCAATTTAATATTGTGTAATACATTGGAGACCATTATTAAATATTGGGCAAAAGCTTTCAGTAGATCATTGTTGAATGAAAGGAAATTTGCAATTTTAAAGTTTTGATTAAAATTGGAATCAAAGACGATTAATTAATTGTATTAAAAGATGATAAATGTGATAAGCCTACATCCAATATAGTTTTGTTTTGGTCAAAGAGAATTGTGTTGGCTTACAAACTAAAGCAAACGGCTATTTTAATAGCCACAAGTTAAAAAACATATTTAAAAACATTTGCATATAGAATTTAAACAAAAACATAGTAATTTATTTTAATATTTTATGTTTTAAAATTAAACATTTATAAACCTAAAGAATAATAATTTATTTGTTTGTTGTCTTAATCCAATTGTTGACTTCTTTAGCACTTTAGTTTAGTGGTATAATCCTGGGCATATCTGAACAATCGAGTTTTAAAGTAACATTCACTTATTTTTTTAATTGTTGACTTCTTTAGCACTAAAGTTTAGTGGTATAATCCTGGGCATATCTGAACAATCGAATTTTAAAGTAACATTCACTTATTTTTTTAACCAGCTAGCTAGAATGTAAATCTTCATTAACAGTCCAATATTCTATGTCATGGTTATCAAGTCCTTGAAAACCTTTAAATACTTTTTTAATCATGATTAATTTGTTAACATAATGAATCATTTTCTGCTTTATACTTTGGTCAGAGGTGATTTTTGGTTTTTTAAAATCTTTATCACTAATGAAGAAGTTAAATATTTTTTCATATGACTCAACAACAGAAATAACATCTCTTGGAGGCAAAAACAAACCACCACGATTTTTCACATTATTTAACGAAGAATAAGATTTCACATAGGAATGTTCGTATGATAAAATTTCAGTTAATGATTGGACACAAATATTACAAAAAATCGTGTTTATCAACTTTCTGACTATAAAACCAGAGATATATCCAAGTATTGTTTCTTTGTAGCTAGTCATTTGAAGTTCATAACAGTACAAAAAAACTTCTTCTAAGTCAATATCATCCTGATCAACAGAACACGACCTTTTGCTCCAATTAAGAGAAAAAATAGAACCATTAGAATAGGGTTCAAACATTAAGCAGTTTGCATGATTCGATCCAACTATGGGATTTCTTAGCAGAATTCGTTTTAAAGATGACTTTAACTGTACTACATCAGGATTGTTATTGTAACCATTTTTGCCAGAAATGCAAGCAAATAGTAGTTCAAGATGATCTTGGGAATACTTGTAAATTAAAACATACTTTAATGGTTTTTTTTGGAAGTGTCGATCATATCGGTGGGTAACTTTTTAGTGCTTCTAGCAGCCATAATTAAACCTAAAACAAATGTAAAAGTAAAGGAATTTTTATCAGTCAACTTGCTCAGATAAGTAATTGTATCATTTAAAAAATCTCTCCAATAAAGTTGATCATGAAGATATAAAGGTTTTTTAAAGTTTTTACTATTTGCATTTCTTGAATTGAGCATGTCAAATAATTTGTCAATAACTTGATTAAAACGGATTGTACCATTTGCTTCCAAGAATGATGGATGTTGAGATGCCATTAAAAATTCAATTGCATCAGCAACAGAACTGCTAAGAGTTTGGCCAGCAATTTTCACATTCATTATTTGTCGATGAAAATCTATATGTTTTCTTGAAAGCTTGTTTGCAAATTTCAAACCTTCAAACTCTTGTAATTCAAACAAAGCTTAAATGTAACTCCATTTAATATATTGGCCATCACCATCAATAAAAACACCCAAATCATTAAGAAAATTTCTTGCTAATTTAAGTATATGACATGGATCAAGGAAAATGTGTATCAGTTGGTTGAAAAAAAATATGAAAAAGTACCGACTATATTGTCAATGTCTTTGCCAAACTGGCATCCAAAGGGGATAACAGAATTTAAATTGGTACTTGTTCCATTAAATGTAATATTTTTGATATAAAGTTTATATGTCAAAGCCAAGTTAAAAATGTTTTTGATAAAGCATGTTAAATCACTTTAACTTTACTCGATAAAACATAACCAATGAGTGTTTTCCAGTGTCCTCACAAACCAACTAACATGAAAACTAATGCCTCAGTAGCTGGAATATCAGGTTAGGATACAATAATATCCTTGCCGAAATCACAAAAACCAATATAGTGACCTGAACTTTTGTCATAAGTTATACTGTTTTTGATTGCCATAGCATCAATAATGAGGGCACAATATTTAAAGTTTACATCTGTTTTCTGTTTATCATCAAGGCAAAATTACACAATTTACAGATGATGTCCAATGTGATATTGAACTGGCAGCAGGAAGACACAACATTGGTTGAAGAAAGTTATATGCGCGTGGAGAATAAAAATGAAAAGTTAAAGCAAATTTTTTTACTTCATCGTTGTATCTGTGACCTTTTGGTTCAAACATTTTGATTGAGAAATTGATTTTTAATGATTTTCTAAGAGTCAAGAAAAATTTTCGCTTAAAACAGTTGCAGCATCTGTAGTCAAATAATTTTTAGATTGTAAATGGGAAACTATGTCTTTTAATGAACTAATTTTTTTTTATTTGTTCTTAACTTTTGTTGTAAAGCTTTTTTTTAAATTTTTCTTTTGTTGGTGATCTAAATAATACAGATAGTGTTGAAGATTGATTCGTTTGGCCAATACCACGAGATGTGCTCCCTGGCTGATAATTATTTGTTAAATTTATTTCTTTGTCGGTGTCATTTATAGCAGGATAGACATCAATTTTTTTATTTTTTGACAAAGGATCAATTGTTGGTAGTGTTTGTATTGTTGGGAGTTTCCTTTTTGGCTTTTGTGTATTTGCAGAAAATACAAAAACTGATGCCACAGCATTCAATTTTAAAATTGGTTTATAATGATGATCAACACTCGCAATATTTTTTTATCTGAAATACAGTAATTTTAGTCTGATTCTAAAAAATGGTCGCTACATATACAAGTATATTTATTTGGGATAAAACTTTCACGTTTTAAAGCAACAATCCATTTTTTACACAATTCTGAATTTTTAATAGGAAATTTATGGAAGGATTTTGTGCCGCTTTCCACGTATCTACTAGCATATCCATACGCAGCCCAAGAATTAACTATTGTTTGATGAAATTACCAAAAGAAATAACTAATTTAAATGAATGCTTTAGCAAATAAACAGAAATTATGTCGGGAATTAACTCTTTTTATTATATGATATATTGACTGTTTTGCCCGATATAATAATGGCCGATCAAAACCGCAAACAAAAAAATCGGCTTCACTTGCAGCTTATAAAAAAACCCGGAGTTGGACATCTAGTTATTTATTACACGTCATTGGTTCGGTATGAGTCGTCACAAAACCACTAACCCATTCCCCCCTCTAAAGCGTGACGTAATTTATGAATGCCTAAATACTTTTTATTAAATATATAAAGACCTTCAGTAAACAAAATTTATCTAATATATGGTTTCTTAATTCTAACCGTGGTTTGCTTTTTTTTTATTAAACATTTTATGCATAATTTTGAGTAACATTTGTGTTGGTCGTAAATTGAATCATGTTTTATTATCTTTATATTTTATTATTTACGAGGAACTTGGTTTAAAACATGGTTATAAACATGGTTCTAGGTTTTCGATTGGTCGATATATGTTAATTGATTTATCTTTATCTATATTGGTTGGTACGTTGGTGTATGTTGTTTGATGCGTCTTATAATAAAAATGTCTGAAATATTTTTTTTAATTTATTATTTTAATTTTGCATAATTTTATTTTCTAGCGATACGACAAAAATTGATTCCATCTTTAAAACAACTGCTACTGTCGCCCAAAATTTCTGATTTAGTAAAGACTTCTCGCTGCCAACCGCAGCTGCAAGCATGCTACGAACTACTTGGTCTGTTGGAGGTGATGAACTAGCAAGATGTAACTAAAATAAATCTAAGCAAGTCGAAACTAAAATGAGTCATCTAGTTTTAGGGTTGTTTGTTTTTTAAAAACTCTCATCAAATTACATAGTTTTCTAAAAAATTTATAAACAAATAATTTTAGCTCATGTGTATATAGACTTAAAGTTCAAAACAACAATGGAATATGCTTATGTATTATTTAATAAATAATATACTTATGTATATATGATTGATCTATGAAAGGAGCTATTTTAAATTTTTGTTATTTTTTTGAGAGAAAAAAAAACAGTTTTAAAAAAGTTTAAATCAATATGGCAGCTTAAACTACGAATGAGGATATCTATAAGAATATCTATAAGTAAATGTTTTTAATTTCATTTCAAGTTAAAAAACTTGACGGCTAGAAAAATCTAATGAAATTTGTAAATTTTTTTTATTCATAAGTTAATGACAATACAAGGTCTGACTTCTAAGATTGATGTCAATGAATTTTTATAAATTGATATCAAGTTAAAATCGATTAAAAAATGTTCTTTTGAAAATAATCTAGTAGGACCCATAATATCATTAAAGATATATATAGGACCCATAATATCATTAAAGGCACATAATATACTTTAACTATATTTTTAGTCAAAAGTATAATTAAAGTATATATAAATTCTTGAGAGCTTATGATCTGATATGACCATTATGGATTTTCAAACTATTAACACTGAGTAGAAAAAAAATTTTGTTTCTCGAATACTCTTTTCTGCAGCATTAATGTCAGAAAATGAAATGTTTTTTAGAATAGTTTTTATATTGACATTTTACAAATAAATATTTAGCAAATCTTTTTTTAAAAATTCTTGTAGTGGTCGATAAGCAGTTGAAAAAAATCTTTATTAAAATCAATTAGACATTAATTGATTGAAGCACTAAAAACCAAATAAATAAATAATAAAAACATCACTAAATAGAGATTAGTTGTTTCAGTAAAATGAACACTTGAACGGTTTTGTTTTTTGCATAAATAATTTAATCATCGCGTATTCAGTGCTACATCCTGCCTGTTCTAGCATCTTTCTCCGTTTTAGAAATGTATTTTTAAAACCTCTTGCATACCTCATTATTAAATTTCCTACGTGCTTTTCGTAATTATCACTCGTAATTAGTATTATAAATTACATTATCCTTGTTTAGTAAAGATTTTTCATTAATGTTGTTAGAGTAATTACCCATGTTATAATTTATTTTGTTTTCTATACTATTATTTTTCTATATAATAGAAAATAAATATTAAACAAAGTATTCACTGCATAATTACCGTTTATACTTTATTGTAACTTAGTGACAATACCGTAATTTAATTAAATTGAAAGTCAAGAACTTTCAAATTTTATTGGGTTAGCTAAAAAATGATAATTGATTTTTTTTAAATCCCCAAATGTTCTGAAAATGGTCAAATAGACTAATTAAAGTTTTTGTATCACAACTTTTGTATATCGCGAAAAACGGATAACGTCAAAGACCATGTACACACACACCTGCATGATAATTTTCAGTAAGGCTACTCAGCAGCAAGAGCCACGCAGCCCAAAAAGTTGTTTTTAATTTATTGGAACGTGTGTGGTTTTGTGTACTGAAAACATGCTTCGAGTAAGCGTATGCTGCAAAAACTATCGGAGATAAGCGGGAATTGTTTTTCGCTCTATTCGCTCAACTTTTATTGCGCAATAAAAAATTCGAAAACAAGATAAAAAACCAACAGCACTTAAATCATTTCTTTAATTCAAAGCTTAAAAAGTTCTACGCTAACGGCATTCCTTCTATGCATCAAATTTGGCAAAGTCATAGACAATTATAGTTCATATATTGTTAAAGATAAGATTAAAACACGAATCCGCATAATTAACGTAAATTTATACGTAGTAACTTGCGGCTCTCGGGAGAGTAGATCATGACTGAGCATAATTACTTTTGAAAATATTCCAATTTTTCCCTAAGCTTCTCATATTACTTTAAGCTTCTCATATTACCTTAAGCTTCTCATATTACCTTAAGCTTCTCATATGACCTTAAGCTTCTCATATCACCTTAAGCTTCTCATATTACTTTAAGCTTCTCATATTACCTTAAGCTTCTCATATGACCTTAAGCTTCTCACATTACCTTAACCTTCTCATATTACCTTAAGCTTCTCATATTACCATAATCTACCGTACATATAAAACACATGAAATCATATTTTTTATATGAATAGTTCATACGGTAGCCAAATTTAGTTTTTACATGTGTTCAGGCTCGGCGCTCGACATTTCGAAGGTGGGTGAAAAAAATATTTTGGCGCCTTAATAAAATAAATTTTGTAATGTATTTTAATACAATTTTTTAAAAAGAAGGTTGTAAATAATTTATCTTGAAAGCAGTACTTTTCAAAAACAATTATTTTAAACAATGTTAATGATGGGTTAGCGGAAAAATGCACAAAGCACATTTTTTCGCTCATTACAGGCGCCGAATGCTTTCATGAGACCGGCAGTTAGGTCCTATAAGTATGCATATTTTTAAAATTAAAGCATGTTCAGTTATACAAGTTAATAGCCTTCTTTATATTTCAAATACTGCTACACTTACATCAATATTTTTAGAAAATCTGGATCTAATCTGGGTTAAATAACACAGAATCTTTGAAATTAATATCGAAAACTCTTTTTATTGTTTTTTTTTTTCTAGTTAAAATTGTTATTATTATTAGAGTGTTATCCAATTCCGAAATCTTTTGTTTTATAGTGGCCCTACAATCATTTAAACCAATTTTAGTTTACCTAAAGGTTCATCTTCTGCGACAGCTACTTACACTGCATTAAAAATTCGAATTAGAATGTTTTTAGATTAGAAAATAGGCTATAGACTTTTTGAGTATTTTTAGTTGAGAAAGTCTAAAGTACTTCCAGAAGTGAAAAATAAAGACTACTTTATTAAGATGAAAAAATAGTATTAAGATGAAAAATAACTTCCATAAAGTTGTCTTCTAGTTCAAGCTTTAATTTTTACCGGTTCTTGATTTTTTAACCGGATAAATGAGAATCTTAACGAAACAGTTTTTACAACCCCAATTTTAAATTGAATTTGTTGAATGGAATAATAAAGCTTAAAGTTAAAGAGATTCACTTCAAGCTTATGTTTGTAAAAACTCATTAAAAAAAACTGCATGTCCAGGTTAACTGCTATTTTGCCATCATCATTCGCTTTGCAAAAAAATTCTGTTTATCGCCATGACAAGTCATCTGCTCATCATGGGTCGATGTTTTGGTTCAAGGTAAAGCAACAGCTTTAGAGCAGTATTTTAGATGGATGATATTTAATTACTTATATACTGAGTCTAATGAGAAAGTGTAAACGCAAAAACGTTTTTTAACTTGGTTTTAAACAACCTGTTAATTCCCTTAACAGTGATTCTTTAATAGCGATTCTTTAACAGCGATTCTTTAACAGCGATTCTTTAACAGCGATTCTTTAACAGCGATTCTTTTTGACGCGACGTTATGTTATAGTTTTAAATAATTTCTTAAATAATTTATTAAAGAAATATATTATTTAAAACTATAATTCTTTGGTAATATAAACAAAACAAATTAATTACTATGCACATCACCAAGTAAATTTATTTTATGCCTGATCAATAAAAACTAATTTTTTACTTTTTTGTTATTAAAATCTCATCATGATTTTTTTTTTTTTTTTTGTCTTTCGTCTTCTGGCCTAATAATTTGGTGACCGAGATACGTATGATCCTTTTGCCCCTCCCTCTCGGTGGTCCTGAACGTGATTTGTTCTTAATTAACTTAAACAGTTTTAAAATTGGATTCTAATGTACACTAAATAAATTTGAGAAAAAATTATAAAGTCTTTTGTAGTTTTTATTATAAATTAATATATACTTATTAATACATAAAATAAGTATATCAATTTTCATACAGTTATTCTTATAAATTTAAAAATTTATATATTCTCAGGAAAAAAATAAGTATTTAATGAAAATTTGGCGCCTTAGCTTCGGTACATGTGTAAAAATCACCGATTGTACCCGCTTTTCGCCGGGCCTGCACGTGTTTAATTAAAATATTACTCATAAGTAGCATAGTTATGTGAACCAAACTTTGTGTTCCATTTGTTTACATTTGTGTTCCATTTGTGTACATTTGTGTTCCATTTGTGTACCTAATCTTCGGTTTATTTATCGGTTATAAACTAGGTTTACATATTTATTCCACTTATAAAGATTACGAACACATGTGGACTACATAAAGGGTAGAGCGGGGCATATCAAGACAAGGGCATAACGGCATAAGGGCATAACGGGACAGTTATGCCTAAAGTCTTATATCTTAACTAAAAATCTTTTTTTTTTTCAAATTTTTTTTTGAATAAAACATTTTAAATTATTGCGCTTCATTATTATAAAAAAAAAAATTTAGAAAAAATTAATTTTAAAAATACATTAAAAGTACCAAAATGCATCAGTAAGTTAGCGAAAAAAAAAAAATTTGCGTATTTTCTTAGGCATTTTATTTCGTTAATATTCCATAAAAAGCTAAAATATAAAAATATAACAATTAAAAGTAAAGGATTTTACTGCTAAAAAAAGAATGCAATTTCAAAAACGGCTTTTTGAAACATTTTTTTTGGAATATATGTAATTTCATTCTAAAGAAAAATCAAAACTATTAATGACGATTTTGTTCCAAAGATACGCTCCAGAAAATGATATGCAAGTTTTGTTTAAGATTAGATTTCAAAAATGGTCAGTGACGGATCCAGAATTTTTTGGTGTTTGAGATAGCTAACTTCCAGACATGGAGCAAACTCCAAAATATTTGTATATTTATGACTCCTTTAATTTGAAGGGGTTACAAATTTTATTTGGTCATAGTTTTTGAACGTTGAGAGAAAGTTAGCTACCTCAATCACCAAAAAATCCTTGATCCGTCACTAAAAATGTTAACAAAAAATCATCATTTCGTAAATTGTATTTATTTTTTATTTTTTTATAAATAGACTATGAAAAGAAGACGGAGATAATTTTGTTTTATATTTGAACATAAAGCATAAAATTTTTATACATTATGTTGATATATGTTTAATACATTCGTTTTTCTTAAGGAAGGCTTTGAATAAATTAGTCGATCACATTCCAGTCGGTTTAGTCAATATTTACTGAAAGTTTATTTACTTTAAATCAGTTTAAAAAATTTTTTCAAGTTCTGTTTTCATAATTTCAAATAATAAAGTAATGTTGTTATGCGAAAAAAAAAATTTGTGTCGTCGCCAAACATTATTGTCTTCAGTCTGGATTTAGCTTTATATAGGTTCGAATATAGAACCTTGTGGCAAGCCACAAGTAATGTTTAGTAGAATTTTTGGTGATTTAGCGTCAATGAGTACATTTTGAGGATGATTACTTAAATAATTTTTTATCCATTTTAAAACAGTTCCTGTGATTCCATATAATTCGAGCTTTTTTATAAGAATTTGATGGTCAATTAAATCAAAAGCTTTTGATAAATCAATAAAAATCCCTAATGTATATTCAGACTTATCAAACGACTCAATAATAATACACGTAAACTGAACTATTGCATGTTTGACTGAGTAATACTTTTTAAAACATATTGGTTATTAAATAATATATTATTTACAGAAAGATTAGTGTTGATTTTGTTGTATAAGTTCCTCTCAAAACTTTTTAAAAATACAGGAAGAAAGGAGATTGAGCGATAGTTATTTACATTATTTGCATCCTCTCCAATAACATTGGCTATTATAAGTTGATCTGGGAAGATTTAGTGTTTAACTGAAGACGAAAAGATTTTAAAGAGAGTGTTTTTGACAAAGTCATAAGAATTTATAACGATATTTTCTTTGATATCGTCGAAACGATGTTTCCGTTGATATGGTCGAATCCTATTGCTTTATTTAGTTTAATCATTTAAAAAAAAAGCATCAGTGTTTACACTCCTAAAAAGGTATTTCTATGCAATTAAGTTTTGTTGTTTTTTGGTAAATTTGGTCTTGCTAAAATAAAATGCATATTTAATTCACGTGTTATCTCGCTTGAATCATATCAAATTTCATCATTAGTTTTAATACCGTTAGGAAAAGCGCCAGATGACCAGCGATTTCTCTTGAAAATTAAAAATGTGTTTCGAATTATTGATGTTATTTTCATGTAGATTTCAGGTAACATTTTTTTTTAATTTTTTTTGTCTTTTAAATTCTGTAACATAATTTTGTAGTTGGTTTTACCTTCTTTTTTTTTCAACATCTTCATATGCAACAAGGCTGCAAGCAACCACTATTAGATGTGGAAGTTACTAGAAGAAGAAAAATAAAATTTGTAGAGCAAGAAAAAAATTAACAGATGACTTGAAAAATTGCAAATTGTATGAATAAGGAAAACCAAAATGAGGGAAGCGAATTCCAAAGTGCTGATGTTTAAGGAAAAAACTAGACAATTAAGAATATTTGAAGCACTTAGAAACAGTCATAGCAAAAGATGAGACTTAATTGAATGAAGAGTAACACAAAAATGAGTATTAATTGATGGTGCAGGAGACGCTAGCTCTTTAGAGCAGTGCCCATTATAGTATTTATAGAAAAGGGAAAGAGAAGCATCATTACGACGATGTGATTTTGATGGTTGGAGGTTGGCTGCAAGAGCAGATTCAACTATGTTTACTATGGATTTGAGATTTGTAGAGATAAAGAATGGAATCTTGAGTAAAAATGTGATGAGCATGATAAAGAGATGAAACCTTAGCAGATGCTAATTTTGCAATTGATTTATTATAGCTACTGAGAGCCCTATGTTGTAACAGAAGAGAGATCCTTTTCAAGCTCAAATGCTTCCTCCAAGTAGAGAATGTTGGTTTCAAGACAAGAATAAGTGGTAGTATCTTGAAAACAAGACTATGATAAGCACTTGTTAAATAGTTTTAAAATTATAGAGACAGCTTCTGAGAACACTTTTGCAAGACTATAACAGGTATGTTGTCCGGACCACAAGCTGTAGAAGAGTCTAAGCAAGAAATCATTTTACATACAGAAGCCTATTTTTCGGCTACATCAGGTAAAACGCGACTAGTGAAATCAAGTGATGATATTGGTGAGAAGTTCTTAGCAAACAATTCAGTTTTGTCTGTGGGTGAGGTGACAATAGAGGTGGAATAACAGATTTGCCCTTGTTATAGATGCTGTTAATGATTCCTCAGTCACAGGAGCCTAATTTTTGAGATTAAATACAAGATTTTGTGACCTGAGAATAGCGGGCTTTGGCTTTAGAAAAAAATATTTTTTTAATGGTTTTTGGCAATAGTAAACAGACTACTGTTTTCTGGAAAATTGATTTACCGATAGATATGAAAGTAATGGTTACCATTGGAAATTACAGCAGCACAAAAAGAGGAAAACCATGGAGAAGAGTAAGAAAATAAAAAATACCACCTCTGTAATATTTTTTTAGAAGCTCTTCAAAATGTTTCACGGCTGCAAAAATCTCTTCATTCGTCAAAAAACTCTTTTTAAAAAGGAATAGTTTTAACTTTATAAAGAGGTGATAGTCTAAGAGAGCCAAATCGGATGAATACGGCGGGTGTTCAAATGAATACGGTGAGTATTCAAGCAGCTCGTATTTTAATTCGTTCAGTTTAACCATCGTCAAAAAATTTGTGTGAACACGTGGATTGTCTTGATAAAAAATGATTGTTTTCTTCTCTAAGCCGGGTCTTTTTTCACAAACCTTTTTAATCAACTGGTCCAAAAGGTTGCAATTATGTTCAGATTTTTTTTTACCCTTTTTAAGATAATCAATCGACAAAACCCTATTTGCATTTCAAAAAACGGATAGCTTAAATTTTTTTGCTGCTTGATCTTACTTCAAATGATTTGAAGCTGAAGAAACAGCTTCAACTTTCGCTTCAGTTCAGGATTATGATGGTAGATCCAAGTCTCGCAGTTATAAAAAGATGCACAAAATAGGTTTTACTTTACTGAAACTTGTTTTCAATTTAGTCTTTATTGAATTATTAACGAATGTTTATTAACTTTTCAAACAGTTTTTTCTAATTTAATCTAATTTTATAAGTAAATTCTTTGTGAAAATATGAAGTACTCAATCACTTGGGTATTTCTATGGTATCAGCAAATCTTACGCTTGGTCAAACTTAGATTTTTACAAACAATATCATAGACTTGCTCAAAGACATTATATGATGCTAAATTGGCTTTATTATAAATGTATTTAGAAAAACTTTTTTTTATTTAGTATTACTTTAGTATCTGTATTGTTATATTGTGTTAACAATAACCATCTTAATAAGTGTTTAAAATCCCCAGGTATTTTTTAAAAGCTACACATCTATTTTGTTTTGGTTCGACAAGATTGTATCAAATTTTGGTCTACTTCAAATTATAACAAGTTCTTTCTTTAAGGTATTTATGAATATTTTTTGGATCTAATTTTGTGAACAGTAACGTCGAAATAAACTTAATTGGATTCAAATCTGGCCAAGCAATAAATCAACTTTTTTATTTATTTATTTTATTGCATAAATGTTAAACACAACAACTCCGTTACAATTAAAACAGCTCCAAATAAAATCACTTGAATGGCTATCTTGCAATCATATTTGCTTTTTTTATTTGTTACTTTAAAGTTACTATCATCACTGAACCATAACATGCTCTTACTTTTCCTGAGAACACCCATTTTGACAAAGACAACCTAAATCTTTCCATTTTTCCAAAAACCATCCAACTTTCTTCTTGTAAACCAATCTCTGATTGTCTGCATATATTTTCTTCCAGCTTCATAAACAACAATATTTTTTCTAAGTAATATTTTAAACTCTATTTAAAGAAAGAGTGTTTTTGGTTAATTGTGTGTAAATGGTGTGTTATTAATTTTATAACAAATTAACCTAATGTTGGTTTTTACTGAACGAAACTTATAACTATTTTTACACTATATAGTTTTTTTAGCCTTCCAAATCCTGTATGATGTTGATGATGCAATCTGTTTTTTTTAAATATTTTCAGAGAATTTCTAAATCAACTTTCTGAAATTTAAATCTTTTTACCACTTTTCTATTACTGATCATGGGCTCATTCAACTTACCAATTACTCTTCACTTTGTTAGTTTGCTTACTGCTTTTCAATCTATTTTGGTGTATCTTTAATTTTTAAGATCTTATTAAACTATTTAAAAAAGGATTTAAATGTGACTAAATTGGTCATCAAACTGGTTATCATAAGCAGTTTTATGCAACTTTTTATCATAAGCAGCTTTTTGCAACTTCTTATAGAATGTTAAAATTACCAGAAATAAAATTAGGCTTTAAGTGGTAAATAAAGAGCTTCAGCTACAATATCAGAAGAAGGAACAAGCAATTTTTAAAAATTAAATTAAAATATCTTTATCGATATTGAGAGTAGCAAGTCATTTTATTTGAAAATGTCTATCCTCAGATTTTTTTTCAAAATGCATCAAGTTGCTTTTTACTTATTTTGAAAAAAACGCATTTAAAAAACAAATAATAGCAAAACAATTCTTTATAAAACTATTTTTGAAAGTTTTTATATATTTCTTCATAATTCTTTATTTGATTGATGTCCCAACTTAAGTCGATTCTGTCAAGGTAATACAGAATGATCATGCTAATATAATGGATGCAATAAAAAGTATTTCCAACAAGAAATATTTTGACACCATTAAAGGCAGAGTCGCAAAATATTCGAAATTAGAGTAGTTTGAGTTTGCATTACAAACAGAAATTTGTAACATAGGTTAGTTTAATAAAACATAGTTTAGTAAAACATTTTTTGAAAAAGCCAATTTCTTCCATTTAAAGTTACAAAATGTTCACCGTGATATCACAGTATCCCATTTTTGTAATTTTAAATGGAAGAAAACCATCAAAAGACTCACCTTTATGTTTAATAAAAAAAACTTTTTACAAGCTTTAAAACTTGACTTGGCCTAGGACCTTTAAAAAGTAATCCTGGCTCTGACAATACCTAACAAAGATTGGTCTTCAATTTTATAAAATATTTTATTTTATAAAAACTAATTTGGCCAGAGCCAACTTTAAACCACAAAACCCCAGTTCTGAAGCCCGAACTCTAACCACAACACCACGGCTGCGTTAATGTGTTATGTTACCTTTAAAAAACTTTAAAAGGTACCAGTTTTAATATTATAAACCCCTTTCTTTTTTCTCCCATAAAATAACAATATTTCCCTTAAAATAATTCAATAAAAATCTTATTTTGTTTATGATTTTAAACTAAAAAATAATAATAATAAACTAAAGAATTTTGCGCTCAAAAAAAAACAACGTAAAAATCAAACAGAAGAAGAAGGGTGCACCATTTAATAACGTTGAATAGTGCATCCTTCTCTTTCTTTTTGAGCTTTACGTTTTTCGCAGCGATTCGGGAACCTAATTTTTACAAATAAATAGTCTAAAATATTATTATATATCACTTACAAAACCATTTATAAGATTATTTTTATAACCAGTTTTTTTGATATGTTTAATGGCATTAATTTAGCGAATTAAATGACGATGCTGAAATGACTACATTTGCAGTTTTTCTATTTTTTTCATTATTGATATCCAAACTCTTGGAAAAAGACTTTTTTATTTTTTTTCTGAAAAAATTTAAAGATCTTTTTTTTAATTTTTCTCTATTTGCAAAACTCAACCCCATTTCATTACCCGACAGTGAAGGCTTAAAAAATTTTTGTTTTTAACAATTTTCAAAACATCTATAGGAAATTAATCGTGTTATGTGATTTACTAAATGAATAAAACGAATCGTTGTCGTAAAGTCTGGACGTTTTAGAGATTTTTTACACATCAAAACATGTTAATTAGTAATAATTAACATTCAATTATCAGTTTAAACAAATCTTTTTTTTAACGACTATTGCGTTGCTATAGTATTGTGAAATTAAACAATATACTCTATAAATTTTTTTACTTCTCTAAATATTCTTGCAAATTTTATAGATGTTTTAGTAGCGAGATTTTAAAAAATTTAATTAGAAATCGTATATTTAACTGAAAGCATGAAATAAAAAAAATAAAAAAAGAATCATAACAACAAGCTCTCTTCCAGTTAATTCCAAAGCTTCTACCACATTGACTTACTGAATACTCAATCGCATATATCCGTCAAAAAAACAAGTTTTTGCAAAGGTCACTAAATTCTTTTAAAGGAATTGATTACACATATTCTAAGCCATTTAACATTTATAAATCTATTCATAGTTTGAAATGTTCAAACTATTAAACACAGATTAAACCGCGACATGAAACAATAATGAAACGATATTAATAAGAATGTGGATTAAAATATTATTTAAATAGAAAATTACTTTTAATGAACAAAAGTTCAGATGAATAGATATTGTCAACAGAAAGTATTGTAAAACAGCTATTTTATGTTTTGAAAGTTTAACTCTAAAGTTTGTTGTCGCTACTCATCTTTCTGTCGTCACAAAAGCAATTGCAAAACAATTGCAGCGAGAATGCAACAAAAAATGAAATAACATTTACAAAAAAAATTTCTAGCAAAAAAACCAACTTTCCTTAGTTTTACTGCACAATAAAATTTCTAAATAATTTAAATAGCAACAAAAAAAAAACTTTCTCAAGCTTTGCGTTTTTTTATTAAACAAACATCTCGGTCAAATAGTTCAAATCACAGTCGAATAAATGATCATCCGTAATTACCCACAGTCAATTAAATATAAAACGGTATTTTAAAATTAATTCCATATCATTTTTGTTATTTATATTTTTATTGTGGTTTATATTGTATGTGGATTGTTGTTATGGTGATTGTGTCTGTGGTGATCTTATATGTTTTGTAGACTTTGGTTTATAATTTTAAGGTGGCTGCTATTATATATTTGGTGTATATGTTATAGCATAAGTGGCTGTATCAATCTTGTTTATTTTTTGGAAGAACTGGTATGCATCTTTATTAATTTAGAAGTTTCGTTTTGCTTTTTCTAACTATTTTCCGTAACTAGAAAATTAATTGTTTCTTGTGGCAAACACTCCTTCAAAACCTTCATCAATTATAAATTAAAAAAAGCAATGTTCTTACTTCCGCGCTATAATCCATAAAAAATGTCAATTAACAACTATCTAAGAAGATATTTAAAACACAGATTTAAAAAAAAACACAGATTTATGTAACTAAATAGATTTAAAATAAATTTTGTTTAGCAAACAAAAAGTCTTAAATTTACATAAAATAAAACCCCACAAACTTAATGGAAATTTTTTAGTTGTCGTTTAGTGTATTTAGTTTCGTTTTAGTCGTTAGTAGAAGTTGATTTGCTATTAAGAAGTTGATTTGCCGTATTAAACTTAAGTCAGCTATGCCGATTTCCAATTTGCATTAATGATATATAACGGTATTTGTAACTTTTATGATGTAAAATTTAATATAATGAAATGCAAAAAATACGTGAAAAGTTAGTTTTTTATAGAATTTCTTTAATTTTTAGTTTATGTTTACTTTTTGGTTTTCAAATTTTTTTTTTTTTTACTTCTTCAATTTTTCATGCAAATAAGATAACTTTCCAATTCATGAAAAAAAAATTTTAAACACAATCAATGAAACGATGTATTAAACGAAATTTAGTTTGTATTTTTAAATTTTTTAAAAATAAAATTAACTCAAATCAATATATATATATATATATATATATATATATATATATATATATATATATATATATATATATATATATATATATATATATATATATATATATATATATATATATATAATGATAATAATAATAATAATAATAATAATAATAATAATAATAATAATAATAATAATAAAAGTATGTTTTTGATTATATATATTTGATTACTTTGTGTTTATATTTTTTAAAAGGTAATGACGTTATTCTTTTGTCCGGGTATGCAGTTGAACTTTGTGCAAATACAAATGTTTGTAAATATTTTAGCATGGGATTTGAATTGAATGCCTTTCCTGTTGTTAAGTATTGAATATTAAACGATGTGGCTGTTGGTCATTTTGTTTCTGATATCTAATTGTGATTCCAAAGAAACAAACAGACAAGGTACGCGTGTTTACGTTCTTGCTTGTTTAGCTTTTGTGTGTTTATGCCTTTTTCTCATAATATAAATAGTGTATATATATATATATATATATATATATATATATATATATATATATATATATATATATATATATATATATATATATATATATACATATACATACATATACATACATATATATACATATACATATATATATATATATATATATATATATATATATATATATATATATATATATATATATATATATATATATATATATATATATATATTAGATAATATATGGTATTACACTTTTATTATATTGATTGCCAATTAGAAAATAATAACTGCTGAAATTACCATTGAAACTTTTCATTATGTTATTATTTTATTCTTAGCTGGTAAAAGTGCAAATAAATCATCTCAAAAAAATTAAAATTTAATTTTTGAATTAAAAAACTGACATAGTGAGAAATACAGAAATGGTATTTAAGGAAATTTTTTTTTTCTTTTCTTATTTAAAAATATTGTAAATAAATTTTACAGTATTTAAATTACAATCACTTTAATGGCGTCGAATACAAGTACACTTTATTAGTGTCGTGCGTGTTACGCGTTTTACGTATGCGTTACACTACTTTACGCAAAGTTGTTAATGCTTTTACTTTATGTCATAAGTTATAATGACTTAAACTACTTAAAATATCGCAAAAGTCTTAAATATCGTAAAAATCTCAAATTTTTTGCATTGTTTGCAAAGTACACTTTGTTTCTAATATTTGCGTACAGAAAACAAACAAAAAAAAAAAAAACGAGCTCACCAAACGCAAAATAGTCTAAATGGTTTGAATCAAGTCTATTTAATACCAATGTATATAACGTGTAGGCATATGCAGCTGGGTTTTTTTTGTTTTATTGTTTTTTTTATAGAACCTATGTTGATTTATACTGATCTTCAAAAATAATCTTGCCGTGCTTTTATATGAAATATTTGACACTTTTGCTTTTGATTTATATTACAATAAAAATTTTAATAATTTTATTTAGGTAGTGTGAATCAGAAGAACAATTCTAGTTTAAGTTACAAAGATATTAAACATGTGTTCAATAATGATTCTTATAATAGAAATAAGACTTCAAATAATGAAGACGAGCTTCACAAAATGTCACCTACAAACAAGCTGAAATCAAATATTTTAGTCTATAGTCCTCCGCGATGGATCGTTGCTGCAGTAGCAACTCCTCTTGTCATAATTTTTGCTATAAATTTAGCCATCATCTCGTTTAAATTAAAAAACAACGAGTACGTACTTTATTTATTTTTGTTTTTCATTTTTTCCGATATTTTCATTTTGTTATTAAAAATCAAAATAACTTTCGTTTTATTTTCAGAGCATTAAAGGAAATTTTAAATGCTATAAAATTTATAAATTAAATTTGTTTTTTATGTTTAAAGTTGATTTCTTGTCTAAAAAGTATGATAACCTAAAATCAACAAAAATAAAGTTAAAAAAAAATGACGATTAGTGTGTTCTATATATATATATATATATATATATATATATATAATATATATATATATATATATATATATATATATATATATATATATATATATATATATATATATATATATATATATATTTATGGTTATTTATATTGGTTGAAGTTTTATGTTAGTTTATGTTTTATATTAATATATGTTTAATGATGGTGTTTGTTTTTTCTTGTTTGATTTAGAATGTTCATACTTAATACGGTTGTTCTAGACAAATAAATAGTAATGATTCATAAAAAACAACTTTATTATTTACTTTTAATTATAATAATAATATTAATGTATAACTTTTTTGATTGCTTGTTTTTATTTTCTGCACGGAGCTTCTGTACTTCATTTAGTCCGACTGACATTGAAAGTGTGAAAGGAGTAGGGTCGCAAAACGTTGAACTCAATACTTCAAACTCTTTAGAAAGTAAATCAAAGATCAGCACAGATCATCAGTAAAATATTATTATCATAAATTATTATATTTTATTTATTTAAATGACAACAAATTCTTTTTTTATATCATCACTTTAGTCACAAAAAAAAAAACAAAGCTAGTGAAGACATATACAACTCAATGATGGAGCAATTTAAAGCCGGAAAAACAAGAGCAATGTCATACACTGGTGGGAAAAGAAGGTAACTTTCTAAAAATTTATAACATGTATATTTTGTCCATTCAAATCAAAATGCGTCGCATTGCTCAAGATTTTAAAAATGAATTAAGTAAATTATAAAAAGGGTGGTATTATTAGGTTTACAATTAAACAAAAACTTATTTGGATTTACAATAAGCCAAAAAACATCATTCTTATTATAACGTTTACAACTAAGTTAAAGTATTTACAGTCTTCCAAAAACTTTTCGAAAACTTTTCAAAAACTTTACCAAAATCATTTAAAAACATAAAATTAAAATTGGAAATAAATTTATAAATGAATATTTCTATAATAGTTATTAAAAACCATAACAGAAATCTATTAACAAACATGTGAGAGGTTGTGCGCCGCACGAGGACGTCAAGTAAAATTATGTCACAATAAATTTATGTTTTATGCTAAGTACAATGTTTTACTTTATTGCTTATTGTATCATTCAAGTATTTACCAATTTTACCAAATTAACAAATTTATTAAACCAGATACAGTTTTATAAATTTGCTGTAAAGTATACGAAAATAAATAACTTTATAAATTCAAAAATAATACACGCATTAATGTTTACTTTGTATAAATATTTTAAGCCTTTACTTTGTATAAATAATTTAATGTAAGAGACGGCTTGAAATAATTTGCACGAGGAAAGGAATTAGACTAAGGGGTTGTCCATAAAGCACGTACGCTCATAGGGGGTCTTCAAATAGCGTAAGAAAGTGTATGGGAGGGGGGATGGTGCTGATGGGGTGAGGGTGAGGGTAAAGATTAACGTATGTACTTTGTTTTTGTAATTTATTACAATTAACCAGCTAACCAATAAAAAAGTTAAAATTCTGACTAAAGATCCTTGTTTGCCAACATAAAAGAATGTGTATGGTATCGGGTAATTGAGGGTATAGTGTCCCCCTATGCACACACAACCCACCACTTATATACTTGTCCTAAGCAAATTAAACTTGCTCAGAGCCAGTATATAATGGGTGGCAATCTCTTTTTTGAGTCCGCAAAAAACAGGTTTTAACAGTGCCGTGGTCGGAGCCCCCTCCAAAAAAAAAAACTGTCATTACGATCTCAAAATCTGCGGCGCACTGTAATAAGTCCTAAGGACTTCTTGGAACATTTAAATAAAAATTAAAAATAGAAATCTTCTAAATTACACCGCTAGCTATTGCTAAAATAAAAAGCTCCTTTAAATTGCGAAAGGGCCCCTAAATTTGCTGGACCCCCGCTCCTTCTTGATTGGGGGGTATGGTAGCCAGCTCTTGGCACTGGATTTTATGCTCTGTTTTTAAAATTACTGATCTCGCGTAAGACTCGTTTTTTGCGGACTTACTAAAGAAGGGTGCCTGATAAAAACGTCTGTTCTAAGTAGAGTTAATTTTTATTTGATTTGTCAATAGAACAATTTTTTTAATAAAAAGTTAATCATAACTTGACTGTGATACAATTTCGAATCACCACCGCAAAATCAAACTTCTAAATTTTTGGTGTACGTTCTTTATGGATGACCCTAAAGGTTTAGTATAAGATTTTTACTTCCACGTTTTTTTTTTTACTCCTTAGTAAAAATCTGATATAAGGGCATTGTTGCTTTATTTTCGTCCAAAAATTAATGGCTCTGTATATGATTAAATATTTTGTTAACAGCTAATGGTAATAAAATCAAATCACAATCAAAAAATAGATTAAGGGTGTACTTTTTATAATCGGTTCTTAAATAACGCGTAACTAATAAAATGTTTCAAGAAAATTATAATTTCAAGAATAATGTTATTAATTTTTGGAAATCTTGGAAATAAAGAAATCGACGCAGCTGGTCATTTGGCGCACGGAAACGAGTAAGCTTTTTAAAGTTTTTAATTTAATTCACTTTAAACATTTTTATTCTTTTCATATTATTCGTTAAAAATGGCTACGCATTTTGAAAATTTGAAATCGTTTGAGGGTAACCTTATTAATAACCTGTTTGAAGAAAACATAAATATTTTTCAAGAAACTCAAATGAACTTAATTGACACACCATATACTGATCCTTTTAATTTTAAAATAATAAACGATCATTGTTCTTTTTCAGTTTTACATATAAGCATGCGGCAAAATTTTGAGAAACTAAAAGATTTTTTAAACATTATAAATTACACGTTCGACGTCATAGCTCTTTCAGAGACTTGGCATGATTTTGAAAATTCTCTTGAATTAAATTCTATTTATAATTTGTCATTTTATAAACTTATAAGTCAACCAAAAGGAAGTGGAAAAAAAGGTGGAGGGTTAGGGCTTTATGTCTCAAAAAAGCATGATTTTAAGGTAAAAAACATACCTATACTCCTCAAACGATAATTACGAAAGCCTATTTTTCGAAATTATAAATAAAAAACTTCGAAATGTTTTAATTGGATGCGTTTATCATCCACCAAGTGGAAAAATCAAATCATTTGAAACTTTTATCAAAAATACAATTGAAAGAATAAATAAAGAAAATAAAACTTTATACGTTATTGCAGACATAAACCTTGATGCTCTAACTTATTCAAAATTTCCAAAAACAAAATCTTTTTTTGATATGCTTTTTAAATTTAATGTCTTGTCAGCAATTAATAAGCCAACGCGAGTATCAAAAACTTCGGCAACGGCAATTGACAATATTTTCATTAATAGTTACCTGGAAATGGATTTTGAAACAGGGATATTTATGACTGATATTAGTGATCACTTTCCGATATTTATAAAAGTAAAAAATATAAAATCCATATCTGATTGTGAACCAAAAGTTATAAATTTGAAAAAATGCAATCTTAAAACAAGTAATACTGATGAATTATCAATTAGATAAAACAAGAAACGTGGTCCAACGTGTATAAATGTCAGGAAACTAATGAAGCTTTCAATAATTTTTTTAGATATATTCCTAGATTGCTTTAATGAAACCTGTCCTCAAGAGGACATACAAATTAAGACAAAAGTAGTTGTTAATCCGTGGATGGATAAAACACTGATAAAATGCTCCAAAAAGAAGCAAAAATTCTATAAATTCTTAAAACACAATTCTTAAAACAAAAATTCTTAAAACACAACTCTTAAAACAAACAAAATTCTTAAAACACAATTATCATTGTTCCATTGGAAGAACATCGACTTTACTGTTAATGCAAACAATATTTACAGTAATTTCTTTAATACATTTTACTCTGTTTATAATGCTAATTTTCCTTTATATGAAAAAACAATAAATCAAAAAAACATTAATTCTTCCTGGGTTACCAAAGGTTTAAAAAAATCATCAAAAGTTAAGCAGTAATTATACATAAAATATCTAAAAAACAAATCACTCGCTAATGAGAAAAGATACAAAGATTACAAAAATCTTTTTGAAAAAGTTCGAAAAAACTTAAAACAACAATACTATTCTAAAATTCTCAATAAAGCAAAAAATAATTGTAAACGCTCTTGGGAAATAATAAAAGAAATTACCGGTAAATCAAAATCATGCTCAGGTTCCCTGCCACACATGATCAAAGTGGATAATAACAATATAATTAATTCTGAAACAATAGCTCATGAATTCAATTAATTTTTTGTTGAAATTGGCCCAAAACTATCTAAATTAATTCCTAATACAGAAGCCTCATTTAAAGATTTCTTAGTACCGATGGGTAATTGCATTCACTCGGATGAGTTATCTAAAGAGTTATTATATGATGAGTTCGAAAAACCCTTCAAAACACTAAAAAAAAATAAAGCAGTTGGACCGGATAAAATTAATGGTAACAAATTTTAGATTGTTTTGAACAATAAAAAATATATTCTTTTTAAAGTCTTTAAATCATCAATAGAACAAGGAGTCTTTCCTGATCAATTGAAAATTGCTAAAGTCATTCCACTTTTCAAAGGTGGTGACAAATTTGATATAAGTAATTACCGGCCTATTTCTATCTTATCTATATTTTCAAAAATACTAGAAAGAATCATGTTCAATAGAGTATTTAATTATTTTAGTTTAAATAATTTATTATACAATATTATTATTACTATTTTATTTATTTAACACCCAATTTACAAGGTAAAAAGAAAAAAATAAGAAAGTTATTTCGGATGACTTTGCTTAAAAACGTTTTCTTCCAGAACTTGCTTGAAAACTCCTCTTTGCTCTTTTGCATTCCAGCACTCTATTGCATACTTAAGTTTCGTTCAACTTTGGAAGGAATTTTACTTTTAGAAAGTGGTATTTTTACCTTCTTTTTATTTTGAATTAGGTATTGAAAATTTAACATCTGAAGACGGCATAGTTCCTGAATATCACTAACAAACGAATGTTGAAATAACGGGTGTTGCAGTTGTGAAAAGATAATAAAAAATAACCAGTTTGGCTTTAAAAAGAATAACTCAACTGAGCATGCAATTATTCAGTTGGTGCGTGAAATTTCCAATTCTTTTGAAAAATCTCAATTTACATTAGGAATTTTTATCGATCTTTCAAAAGCATTCGATACTGTTGATCATGATACTTTGCTTTATAAACTTAGTTATTACGGAATAAATGAAAGAGTAATTAAATGGTTTCTAAGTTATTTATCGAACAAAAAACAATTTGTTTCTTGTAAAGAACTTAATCATAAACAGTTTTTAAATGTTTCCTGTGGTGTTCCGCAAGATTCCATCTTAGGCCCTCTTTTGTTTCTAACATATATCAACGACTTGCATAAAGCATCAAATCTTTTAAGTACTATGTTTGCTGATGACACAAACTTATTTCTCTCTAACATCTATCTACTTTTCTCCATGATGAACAAAGAACTTCAAAACATATCTAAATGGTTTAAAAGTAACAAATTGACATTAAATATAACCAAAACAAAATGGATTTTTTTCCACCCGCTCTCCAAAAAACGTTTTCTACCTCCAAATCTACCAAAAATTCTTATTGACGATATTGAAATTAAAAGAGATTCTGTAACTAAATACCCGGGGGTTTTCATTGAGAGAACATCACATGGAAACATCATATTAACTATGTTTGTTCGAAAGTTTCAAAAAGTATCGGAATTTTATATAAGACGCGTACTCATTTAGATAAAAATAATTTAACTAAACTTTATTACTCTTTTATTCACAGTTATATAAGTTATGGAGTTATTGCCTGGGGTAGCAAGTTACAATGCCTCTATCGCCGTCAGAAACATGCGATCCGTTTAACTAATTCTGCAGATCGGTTCGCACATTCCTCAATATTTTTTAATCAAATGAAAATTCTAGATATATATAACTAAACGTATATAAAAAATCTTTTTTTGTCTATATGTGGGAGCAAGATTTATCTTCTTTAATTTTTAAAGATCTTTTTATTTTGAAACCATTAAGCAAGTTTAACATGAGGAATAATAACTATTTAAATGAACCATTCTGTCGAAAAAAGTTCAATCAATTTTGTATCCCTTACCGTGCAGCTCATCTCTGGAACAAAATTATTTTGCCTAACTTCGACTTACCCCTAACTTATCCTGTTTTTAAAAATAAATTAAAAGACCACAATCTTTCTATCGAAAATATATTTTAGAATATTTTTAATTTATCTTGTGATAAAAAACAAAATAATAATAAAATTTATTGTCATGTATGTTCAAGTTTTGTTTTATACTTGTTTACAATTTATTTTCATTTATGTAAATACGATTTATTGTTTTATATGATTTTTACGTACTTTTATTGTAAAAAGGCGTTTTTATAATATATTACGTACTCTCTTTTGTAAAAGGCTTCTGACGATAGGATCATTGTGATCTTCCATTAGAAGTCTTGTTTGTATTTGAAAAATATGTAATTTATATATATTTTACTTCAAATGTAAACAAAAAATAAATAAATAAATTTCTAAAAAATAAAAGCACTGGTAATGAGATAAAGTATAAAAACTATAAATATTTTTACCAAAATCTTATTAAAAAAGCTAAAAATAAATACTACAGTAATGAAATCATAAAATGCAAAGCTAATAGTAAGAAAACGTGGTCCATCATTAATGAGATAATGGGAAGGAAAAAAATAAATTCAACTTCTTTACCAAAAAGTATTAATATTAACAATACAGACATATTCTGTAAAAAACAAACATTCGAAGAATTTAACAAATATTTTATAAATATTGGACCAAATCTTGCTAATAAAATAAGTCCAACATCTGATTCATTTAAAAACTACCTAAAACCCACAAATAACACTATCATGTACGATAAGGAATTCAACTATAAAGAATTTGAAGAAGCCTTTTCCTCTTTAAAAAAAAGAAAGCACCAGGATTTGATGAAATAACTAGTGATTTAGTTATCTTTAATAAAATTGGTCTAAGCAGACCTCTGATCCATATACTTAAGCTCTCAATAACATCTGGGATTTTCCCTGATGTCCTTAAATTAGCAAAAGTAATCCCCATACTTAAATGTAATAAGCATTCGGACATAACCAACTATAGACCTATATCAATACTTTCTGTATTTTCAAAACTCTTCGAACGTGTAATTATAATAGAATCTATAACCACTTCACTAAAAACAAATTATTTTACATTAAAGAACTATGGTATAATTAATAAAACTTACAATTGGATTAAAACTTACAATTGGATATCAAGAAGTTATATGCAGATATGAATATTGAACTAAATAAAGTAAATAATTGGTTTAGGCCTAACAAACTCTCACTTAACACAGAAAAAACAAACTATACATTATTCCACAAAAAAACACAAGAAGAAAACCTTTCTCTTAAGTTGCCTGACTTATATTAATGATATTAAATGATTTATATTAAATGATAACTTAATCAATAAACAAGCCAGTATTAAATTCTTAGGAATTCTTGTTAATAAGAAGTTATCCTGGCTTCCTCAAATAAGATATATTCAATCTAAAATCACTAATACAATTGGTATAATGTATCGAGTTCGCTCATATATCAATAAACAAAGTCTTAAACTAATTTACTTTGGACTAATTCATTGCTTCATCAGCTATGCAAACATATCATGGGCAAGTACGCAACCATCAAAACTCAAAAAAATTTATAGTCTACAAAAACATGTGTGCAGAATCATTTACTATAAAAATAAGCGTGAACATGCTATACCTATAATGAAAGATATGAAAATGATGGATGTTTTTGAAATAAATATCTATCAGCATTTAATTTTTATGTATCAACTCAATAATAATATCTCTCCTGCAAACTTTAATAACAAGTTTGAAATTAACATAAATGAAAACTATTATCTAAGAGCAAATATAAGTAACACATATAAACTGCCTCAAAACATTAATAAATATACTGAATATACCATTGTATATCGAGGATCAAATATATGGAATAGTTATCAAAAAGGATTTAAATGTATGGCAAAGTCATTAAGTTCATTTAAGTTTCTAATAAAAGAAGAAATTTTTAAAATTTGAGAATCTTTTGTGCTTAAAGGAATCACCAAGGAATTTTTTTTATTTTCTAACTTTTTTATATTTTATCTTTATTTGATTTACTGATCAGCGCAGCAGTTTTATGCCCGTTAGAGTTTTTAATTTAATACCTACATTCTATGGAAAGTGTATATAGGGGCTTTATGAAAAGATTGCGATGACGTATTGTCATCTTCATCTTCTTTGAGCCCCTGTCTGTTTAGCTCTTTATTTTAGAAAGATCATTGTAAAAAGAATAGTGTTTATTTTATACTATATATACAAAAACGGTGCTTGTTGACAAGATTTTACTGTCTTCTTTGTTCTACGGACATATTTTTTCTTTTTTGTATATATATTTTTTTGATTATTTATTGTTAAACAGCAAAAGAAATGTAAAAAAAAAAAAAATTTTTTTTTTTTTTAAATTTATCGTAAGAATACAATTTAAAACAAATCATTTTTACCTGTTTAAACTATTCTTTTTCTACTTTAAATGGAAAAAGTTTACAAAAACGTGAAAAGTATGACAAATTCAGCAAAGAAAACTTATCACCAACACAATCATTTAAAAACGTTTTAAAATTTTACAATGCACGAATGTACGAAAAATCAATTTAACAACGTTTAGCTTTAAAACAATTGGTTTGACGACATTTGGTTTCAGCAAAATGAGCAACCAGACTCTTACTAACAATTTTTTTTAGTAATTTCACTTTTAATAATTTCAATATTAGAAATAAGTGATGAAGAGACTTTGTGCTTAAAGTCTTCTTTAAGCAGAAAGTCTTTTCATCACTTATTAAGTCATATATATTGTTTTTAGAAAATCTTAAAGGTAAAAGCAAGTGAATATTTATATAATATTCTTAAAGATCTTTTTCCGTTATAAAATTGAAGTTTTTAAATGAACGCTGTTAATATTTTTTTGTTCGTGTTTTTTCAAAAATAACGGAGTTGAGATTCCATAACTTAAATTGACATTATTACTGAATTTTTAGATTTTATTTTTCGACGCGAACTGTTGTTTTTTGTTTGCGAATATTTTTAAATTAAATACCAATAAATAAAAAGTTTTTCGGTTTCCCACTAACAACCAATCGGATTTGTTTTAAATCATTGGGGTTTTTTTTACGAGTTTGTTTGTTCTATATTTAGTTGCATTGAGTAACGGAACAACCTTATTACATTCATTGTTAAGGGCGCGACAACCCGGTATAATAACCGCGACCCTTAATATATTAGGAGGTCTGGGTTATAGGGGGCTTAATATATTAGGGGGTCGCGGCATCGGAAAGGTTGGAAGTCGCTGTTCTACATTGAAATTGAATATATGCATATAAAAACGTATCAATATACTTTATTTTTATATATATATAAAAAAAAAAAAAAAAAATCAATATACTTTGATATCTTGATCATATCACAACGTATGATCCTAAAATATTTTAAAGTCAATAGATTAATTGGGACATTCTGTTTTTAAATAATTATTTTTACAAGTTAAAAATAGATTTTATGATATTAAAAGCAAGTAAACCGGTTGTTTTTTTTAATTAATTTTTGAAATCTGTTTAAACATATCTTATAATATAAGTTATATAAATATCTTAAATATATATCTTAAATATGTACTAACGAAACACAAAACTTAAAAAATATATATTTTCTTCTGACTTTTTCAAATAAAAACATCAAACAATTTTTGTCTTTTTTACTTTACTATATCTGGTAAACAAATCCAAACACTATATCAACTAAAACGTTTTACTTTTTTAGCTCGGAGATTAAGCTGGAGGGTATTTCTGTAGTTTCTCCAAAAGATATAGCAAGAAAGCATCTTTTGCTGGGACGCTTGAATGAAACTTTGTAAGTAAATTAATCTTGTTATTTTAATTTAAATTCTAACTACAAAAATATATTTGTTAGAATATATATTTTAGAGACAACGATGATGGCGACATTGCTATTAATAAATTAATTGAAACGAGGTTTAAATTTTTTTATTTTAAATTAGCGGTCTACTAAGATAAATACTATTTTTATTGATTTATGTTTCTAACAGTAACATACAGCACTAACAATATAAGTACTTCTCTATAAAGTACTGGTCAGTTTTTGCCCTTGCTAGAAAGTTAATGATTATCAAATTTTTAAAATTATGCATTTTAAAATTTTTTGTTAAATACACATCTAAAGGAAAATGCTAATATTGAATCTCCTATGGTTCTCTCCCCTTTCTTTTAAAGAAATCTTTTTTATCTTTAATATTTTTAATCCATCCAATGGCATTAGAAAATAAAGAAATAAATTTTCTAGATCTCCTATGAACAAATAACATATCTGGAAAAACATTTTTTATTTCTATTGCGAAGATACTATAGTAAATGTACAAATAAAACAATATTTTTGGCATGATTCAAAAATATCTAGTGGTTACTTAAAAATTTTATAATAGGAACTTTTGCATTAAACAGCAAAAGAACAGATTATAAATTATAACTTATTGCTAATGTGTTTATGACAAATATTTATAACAGATGCAACTAAGTAATAGCAAAAAATTGGAGCTAAATTAGATTTCTATTCCTTGGGTACCTAAATGAAAAATTTTAATAAAAAATTGTAAATGCAGGGTTTGCCCCTGTTTTTAAAACACTAAAAAACTTACATTAATGACTATAAATAAAAAGCCTAAACTTTCCAATGATTATTCCCTGAAATCTACAAACTGAAGGTTTATGTGAAAATCTATTTTTTGGCAAAACTAAACAAAAGGATTTATTGCATATTGGCCAACATCTTCAACATTTAAAGGAAGTGAAAAAATTGGCTTTTGTATAAAATAAAAATAACAGCATTAAAGTTGAAAATGATTACAATAAAAGAAAGAGAGAGAGTTAACTGGTGGTTTGAATTAAAGTAATTGCAATTATGTTACATTAGCGTTGATTCATTTAAAAACATTTTTTTTCTTTTTTAATACAAAAAAACACATTGCATTAGAAGATAAGTTAATTTAAACTTTTTGACAGTTACTTCTTTATAGTTTGTATAATTTATAAGCTTTATAGCATATATATTATAGCTTGAATAACAAGAGTATATATAACACCTATATTGTCAGACTAAAATGAGGAAACCATAATTAAATGTTTATTTTATAAATGATCTCTACTTTTTTTCAGTAATAATAACTTATTGTTAGGTCCCTGGCTTTAGGTCCAGTACTTTTAACATGCCCTCTTTAACAGAGAAGAACCCTACTACTACATCACTGATCTTATTACATAGTTATTTAGCTTTTCATTGTGGTATAGTGAGAATTATGTTTAGTCTTCATACTTTATGATATATAAATGAGTCTTTATTTTATTTAGCACTAATGCGTTTGTTGGGAAAGTTATGTTCAGGCATTTAGTCTCAGAAGATTCTGTTGACAAAGAGTAAGTAAAGTTTGTTTTAGGTGTTTGTGTGTGTGTGTGTGTGTGTGTGTGTGTGTGTGTGTGTGTGTGTGTGTGTATATATATTTATATTTATATTATGTTAAAGCAATTAAAAACATGAAACTATAGTGTTGCATAAAAAAGTCTTTAAAGAAGTTGTAATTTGCCTAACAGAACATTATTATTTTTGTTATTGAAAAATGGAGTTTTTAAACTCTGCGGCTTTCAAGAAAATGATTTCTTTTAATATTATTTATAATCTTTACTGATATTACTGATATCAGTAAAGATATTAAATAATATTATTAAAATAATAATATTAAAAGAAAATGATTTCTTTTAATATTATTTAATATCTTTACTTGATGATTAACTATAAAAACCTTTTTCAAATATACAATTGAAACAAAAAATTTAAACATCTTGAGAAATCTGAATAAAATGCATTGTATATAGTGATATAAATATAGATAAATAAAATACAATTAAACAATTAGATAATAAAATGCAATTAAATTATAATTTAACTTATTATAGTTACAAAAATTAAAATTAAAATTTTAGGTAAAATCATAGTATATGCAAAACATGTTGTTTTTTTTTTTTTATTATTATAGTTCCACAATTTCTAAAAATAAAAGGCCTTCTTAGGAGGGTTTATCACAAAATACTTATGTCAGGTGTAATTTTAGAAGGCCATCTTTTAATACTGTGTTAATTGAGATTATATGATATATACATGAGCAAAATTTGTTAAATACCATGTAAATATCAAATTATATTGTAAAAAATTTATATTCGTTTATTAAAAAAAAAAAAAAAATTAATATTAAGCCAATTATCTCCAAAAGTATTTTTTTAATTAAATTGAGATTTTATAAAGGTTATTATTAAATTATTTAATAGTTGATAAAATTATTTAAATAATTATCTTTCTAATTTCCTTTTCTGTCATATATCAATGCTACATTAAGCATAATTGTAATAAATTAGATATATTTAAATTAAATATGTTTAAGCATAAGCAATTATAAATTAGATATATTTAAGCATAAGTAATTAAATTAGATATATAATAAAATCATAAATTCAATGTAGACAAATGTATTTTAATTTTTTTAATTATTTATGTATAGATGCATGTATTTATGTATGGATGTGTGTATATTTTAATTTTATTAGGTTTTAACAATATTATTTTATGGGAGATTTTTTAAAAGTGCATGCTATAATTTTTAATAAAAATAAAATTATGTATTTTTGATATGTGTTTCAGTGCATCGCGTCATATCAAAGCTATGATTGAACGTTCGAAAGAAGATTTATCATCTTGCATCAACCTGTTGCCAGATGATGTAAAAAATCTACTACCAGAAGGTATGATTGATGATTGCTTTATCAAACAACTTTAAAATTTGTCAAATTAATGAGTGTTTATAATAATAATAGTTACACACATACACACACACACACATACACACACACATTGGGTCTGGGTGTCTGCCAGATCAGGGAAAAGTCAGGAAACTTAGTTTTCTGCAAAATAAATCAGGGAATTATAAGGGAAAGTGGGTTAAATTTTTAAAAAAATCAGGTAGAAATCAAAGAAAATGGCTCTTCATCAAACTTACATAACTTAAATAAGTTGTATATTGTACGCAATATAAAATGTTATTTGGTATGTTGGTATGTTAGTTTAATGAACTTCTCTTGATACTTTAAATGTGGGTTGTACTGTTGTTTATATTTTTGCAATTAAAAAAGATTTTTCCAAGTCTAATTTTTACTGAAGTAGCTTTAAATTAAGTTAGGGAAAATAGGTAGATAAGAATCAGGGAAATCTGCCTTTAAATATTGGCAGACACCCTGTATATATTTTTTTTACTACTTTTTTGCATACTATTCAAAGATCAATGTTACCCAATTTTTTGTATAACATTAAAACCTATTTATACCCTTTATTCATTTATAACCACATAATTAATCTTAGGCTAAGTAATGGTTAGCCAAGTCTTTAAGCAAAATATTACTCTATCTTAGCATATGAGGCAATATAAAAGAGTTTTAAAAAAATAATTATACGCAGCACATAAAAAACTATTTAAAAAATATACTGTCAGTGGCAGTAGTATTTTTTTTTTCAAATCTTAACGTTTTTTCAAATTTTTCTTTCGACAACAATTTAAATTGAGTAATGCTTTCATAACCTCATCTTTAAACTTTTGTGGTCTCCCTGAATGTTCTTTTTTTCAAATAGAGCAGCAAAAGTGTTTTAAATTGTGCGGTTTGCATTTACAAAATGTAAAAGTCTCAAATTTTATGAAAAAATTAAAAAATCTGAATTTTACATACTAAAATTGAAATTTTACATGTATGTATGTATGTATCTATGTTGGTATATATGTATGAAAAAAACTGTCTTTTTGAAATACATTTATATATATATATATATATATATATATATATATATATATATATATATATACATATATGTATGTATGTATGTTTGTATACGCACACACACTAACACACACACACTACCACGCACACACACTTGGATTTAAAATTAAAAATATTTTTTGTTTGATTGCAGACTTGGAAGACGCATTTACGAACTTTGCGAGCTGGCAGGAGTCTCTTCTATGAATTGAAATTTGGGTTTTAGTAAAGAATACAATATTTATATTCATTCACTAACGACCATCATATTTAGTGAATATAAAAACAGACGTCCTTGACAACTATCGAAAGAAACAATTTAAAGCATGTAATGAAAACTTTATTCAGCATTAACTTCAGAACAATTATGTCAAAAAGTGGAATATAGTCTAGTCAATAGAAGGATGGTTAGCATTATTTTAAAAATAAAGAAAATATCAAATGAAATAAATAAAATAGTTGGCTTTGTTTTTAAAATTTGATAAATGTTGTGTAAATAAATTGTAAATGAAAAACTGTAAATAAAAAATGCTTTCTCAATTTATGCATATTTATTTTAATATTATTTGTTTAAATTTATTTTATTATTCACGTATATTTAGCTAAATATTCACGCATGTTAAACTAAATATCCAGGCATAAATATTTAATTTTTGTATTTAGATTTAATATTTAATAAATACTGCAACTAAAAGGTAACTGCTATATATTTAGAGAACTATGTGCAAAGAACTTTTATTGAAATTCGACTCTTGAAACTTACGGCATTCTCTTCCTTCCATTCTAATTAAACATGTTTACCCAATGTTAGACATTCAAATCACTTTAGTTTCCGTTGCTTAAGTCATATTTCAATTAAACACTTCTACGTCTTGTGGTCCAGACAACATTCCTGCCAGTCTGACAAAACTTTTCTCCAGAACTCTATTTAATTCTCTCTAATCTATTTAATAAGTGCTTTACTAGTCTTGTTTTTCTCCCTGCCAGAAAATGGCATCTGTTGTTCTAATTTTCAAAAACTCGGGTGAATATTCTGACCCCTCCAATTATCGTCCGATCAGTCTTCTTTCTGTTATTAGCAAGGTCTTTGATCAACAAATTTTTCACATCCCATCTTAAGTCAAATAAATTACTGTGAGACAATCAATACGGTTTTAATCCTATTGCTTTACCCCAGACTTGCTAACTGCTGTGATTGAAAAATTTTATCGTGCATTAGATGGAGACGGAATTAACTTTATCATTATCATTATTTTAGTAGAAGTTCTTTATCATTATAGCGAAAATAACTTTATCGTGCATTAGAAGCGGGGAGGCTAAGGCTATTGCTCTTAACATATCTAAAGTTTTCAACAAAGTTCGGCTTGCTGATCTTCTCCAAAAGCTTGTTTTATATGGTGGAAAGTTTTTGAGATTATATTAAAGTCATCCTCGAAGGCCAAAATTTTTCTTGGTTCTGTTTTGTTCCTTATTTAAATTAATGATCTTCCCAACAACATTACATCTAAAGTAGCTCTTTTTGATGACTTGATTTTATACTCCTGTCTTGACAGGACTATAAATTTTTTAAGTGTTCTCTATTCGATTGCTTAAGAGAGGTAGCCGATCTTGAATCAAATCTAACTTCTGTAACAGATTGGGGCTTGCAATGGCTTGTAAATATTAACTCCAAGAAAACTCAGTTATTTACTGCAAACAACTACCGCAATACTGTCGACATTCTTATATTAATGAATGGCAACCCTCTAACTGAGTCCTCATTTTTACGTCTTCTTGGATTATCGTTTAGTACATACCTTTCACGGAATCCATATATACAATCGACTTCTAAATTAGCATCCGCTAATTTAGCATCCGCTAATTTAGCAATCGTGCTCACCATTTTCTTTCTCCTAATTCCATTTTCTACCTCTACTAATCTCTTATTTGATCCTGTCTGAAATACTGTTGTCATATTTGGACTGGTTCTTCTTATGATGCTCTTTCTCTTCCTGACAAGGTCCAAATACGCATTTAGTTTGAGCCTCTTTTCAATCGTTATAAAATTGCATCTCTTTCTCTTTTCTACAAAAGCTATCATGGTCGCTGCTCAAAGGAGCTATCATCTCTAGTTCCATCTACTAAAACTCGTTCTCGCTTGACTTGCCATTCAACAAAGTCTCATTCTTTTACTGTATATATCCTTGCATGCTCTTAAAACTTTTATTCGTCTAGTTTTTTTCCCCGCACTTCAAACCTTTTGAACTCTCTCCCATTGTCATGTTTTCTTGACTCATACAACCTACAACTTTTTACTACTTCTGTCAACCGTTTCCTTGCTCTATAACTCTATTCTTTTTTAATAGAGATTTTTTTTGCATAATAACCAAAAGATTTCAAATAGAAATCTTCTGGATATTATGCAAGTATGAGATTTAGACTTTATCAAAAGAAAAGTTTAGGAAGGCACCCAACTCTTCCAGGCAGGAAGTATATTATTATAAACATTTAATATACTTTATAAATATATTACATTTATGAAGTTTATTGAATATTTATTTAAAAAAATATTTAAACTTATAAAAAATACAATAATTACTATACCAACTAAAAAAACTAAAAATAAGTTTCTGGATTTTTTTACTTCAAAATACGGCTTTATTTCAATTACAAACTGAATTGATACATTATTTAACGTATTCCACATCTGAATCATTTTTTATAGTTTAAAATGTACAATACTTTAAATATATATCATAGTTAATCGATTTTTGAGGCTAAAAGTCCTTACCAAAAAATATAGATTTATATATATAAAAAGTTTATAGATTCCTTACCAAAAAATCCGTTCGTCTTTTGAGGCTAAAAAGGAATCAAGCAAATATAAATACTTTATTCTGAAATAAAGTAAATTGCAGAGAGTGCGTTTTTTTTCCATTCTTAAATTTTTTAGTAAAAAAATTTCAAGAATGGTCTCAATAAAAAATGATCTCCATAAAAAATTTAAAATTTCAATATAATTTTGAACAACCACTTAAAAAATCATCTAAAAAAACCTCAATATTTTTATGAAACCAAAGAGTTTTATCACTGATACCTAATATTAGGTATAAAAAATTTAAATTATTTATCAGTCATGCCTAAGTTAAATTCATTTAAAAAGTTTTATTTGTTTAGCGTTAATTTCGGCAGAAATAGTTCCTTTTTAGTTTTTGGTTACGTCCACCTTTTTTATTTATGATGAGATTTTACAGAATGTTGTAATTAAAATATATATCGACGAAAAGAAATTAAACAACATTGTTGGTGATTTTAATTTAAATTGTTTGCAATACAACAATAATTACTATATTTTACAATTATAGTTAAATGCTGTTTTAAAATTGTTTTAAAATTGAATTTTTAAAACTGAGTTTTCAAAATTGAATTTTTAAAACTGAGTTTTAAAAATTCGGAATTCAATTTAATTCAGCTCAGAAAATAAAAATATCTGAAACAGTTTAAAACTGAATCAAAACACCATTATCACACACAAATTTTAAGTTATTTTGATATCAATATTTCTTTTAAAAAGTTGAATACCATTTATAATTTAAACACAATGTAATTATTTTAATTTACGGTTTAATTATTTGAAAATTATTTGGAAGCAGCCTTAGTATAGTGTTTAGAGTTCTGACTTCAGAACTGGAGGCCCATGATTCAAGGCCGGTTCTGGCAACAGAGGCGTAAACTTCCTGGTTAAAAAGCTATTCTGCGGTGCTCTGTGATAAGACCTCTGTGTAGGGACTTCTTGGAGCACCTAAATAACTAAAAATAAAGTTTAAAAAAAACAACAGTTTAAAAAAAAAAAAGTATAAGTGATAAAAATAAATATTACCATTTTCTTAAGTTTATAAATAATGTTATTTATTGATCTTTATTCATTCTTAAATAAATCTTTACATAATTATAAATATATAAACATTTATTTAATTCTCAGTATATATAATTATAACAATTAACTATCAGTTGTTATTATATTGTCTAATAACAAAGCTAATGTTGCTATAAAGTAAGGATTCTAATCCCTGGCTTACTGGAATAATATAAACGATTCTAACAACGCTAATTTAATCTATAACACGTTTTAAAAAATATTGTTTGAAATTTGTGACATTTCATTTCCTAAAATTGAATATTAAAAAAGAAATAGAAATAATAATAATAAAAATTTAACGACGCCCAGTACTACGGGCCCAGAAAACCGTCAAGTTTTATGTCGTGTCAATCAATTGAAACTTTGTTTATTCAAGAGTCTTATGACAATTCAATATTCAAGAGTCTTATGACAATAAAAAAGAGCTTTTTTAAAATCGGAACAAAGTTCTAAGAGTTAAAAACAGGGCAAAAGCTAATATTGAGAGAGTCTTGGCCCATTTAAAAATTTTTGAAGCAATCCTATAAAAAAAAAAATTACTCGAGAGTACTGGTTCTATAAAATCAGAAAAGGTTATAAAACCGTAAAGAAATGGGGGAAAAGGTAAAATTGAGAGGGCCTAAGTCCATTAAAGCATTTTAACGTCCCGTTTTAAAAAAAAAATTAAATTAAATTTTAAATAATTTAAACAAAATTTAAAACCACCAAAAATACTTTAAAATACTTACAATATTAATGTACATAAGTATAATCTACTAAATTTGAATAATTCTTTTTCCTACTCTAGAGCAGTATGTAAAATTAATGTTAAACTAAACACTTCTTTCATTTAAACTAAATACGCAATCGCTCTCAATAGTGAGTATACTCTTCTACAATTTTGATTGTACTTTTTTACAAGTTTAAATTCATGTAGTTTAAATTTAGAATGAAGTTTCCACACTCCTCATCAAACTTAAAATATAAAATTTTTATTTGATTGACACAATATAAAACTTGGCGTTTTAGCCTACAGTGCCATGAATTACAAAAAAGATAATATTTGATAATTTAGCCAGGGCCGTCTAGAAGAGATTTTAAAAGAGGGGAGGGGGGGCTGACGTGTATGTTTTTTAACGACTAAAGCCAAAAAAAAATTTTCGTCCACTAAATTATCTAAAAAAAAAATGTGGTCCAATACTGCTTATATGACCAGAGCCGGCTTCAAACCACGGACCGCTAGTTCTGAAGCCAAAGCTCTACAACACCACGGCTGCTATTATTAAAAATAAGTTGATATTTTAAGTGTTTTTTTTTTGTTTGTTTTAGTTTAAATTTAAAACTAACTCTTTTTTCTTTTAACAATTTGTATTTCTTAAAATAAAAAAAGTTATTACAATTTACGAATATAAAAATTTATAAAATATTTAAAAACCTTCATTTTCCTATTTAAAAGAAAATTAAATAATACAATTCTCTCAATTGAGAACATATATAACAGAACATAATTTTTTGTTTGTTTTATTATTAATAACCTTATGAATATATTTTAATTATTTATATAGAAATATACATTACATATTCAATTTTTGTTTGGAAACTTTTAATTCGATTTACTTAGGTATTATTTTATAAAAGTAACGAATATTTAATTATATCTGTTATATTCAAGTATTTTTATTCATATGCTAATGATGTATTTATATATCTATTATTTATTATTTATATATGTAATATTTATTGTTTACATTAATATATGTATATTATTTATTTTTTAATGTTTTCTAAAGTTTATAACTATGTATTACATTTTTTAC